AAGTGAAGAAAAACAACTTGGTTTCAGATGGTGACTTCTCTATGAGTGTTCGTTCTATTGATGGCTTTCAAGGTGATGAAGAAGATATCATAATGATCTCCACTGTCAGGTCTAATAGGTCTGGAAATGTGGGGTTTCTTTCTAATAGACAAAGAGCAAATGTGGCTCTTACTCGTGCTAGGTATGTTACTTATTGGGACCAAAATCAAATATATGTTCAAGAATTAAAAACTTGATCTTAAGAGGGATTGAGGCTTTCAAACCTTGGAAGTTATCTGAATTTGGGTCCAGTGAATGGTACAAATCCATTCACTCAATCAGTGTCTTAGTACTTAACAACGATAACAATTGTTTGATGTAATTGAATGACTATCATAAATCATCATAGATACTTAGAAAATACTAAAACTCAAATTTTTAAAAGGGACAACCTATATGAGGAGTGTTCTGCTTGTGAGAATTATTTTAAATTTTTAAGAAAATATATCTTAATAATTTGTAAGTATTGATAAAATTCAATAACTACAGTTGAAATTTGAAACATTCATTGAGTGAGTAATTTAGATCACTCACACGATTCAAATTCAATTTATCTTCTAGATTGAGGCAGAAAGCCAAGAGTGAAAAATTGTAACTAATCATGAAGTTAAACTTTCTACATTCATCATGTTGCTTCCAAGCTTGTAAATACAAAAGCTTGAGTTGATTAGAGTTTTTTTTTTTTTTTTCGGTAGGCATTGTCTCTGAATATTGGGAATTGCAAAAACTCTAAAACATAGTGGCTCTGTTTGGAAAAAGTTGGTAAATGATGCTAAGCAAAGAGGGTGCTTTCATTATACTTGTGATGACAAGAACTTGTCTCAAGCCATTAAGGAGGCTTTACTTGAGCTTGAACTAATTGATGAATTAAAACCACCATTTAAGTCACTCAGTATAAAGGGCTAAATTGAGAAGCCAGAAATAGATGCCTCAAGATCTAGGTAATTCGCATTGATCCATAGCTTTTTCCTGAACTCACAAACACAAATGGTCAATACTTATCTACATCAACAAAATGAATATGTTGATTGGTGTTATTGTTTGTTTTAAGATCTGGCCAATGTTCATATGTTTCAATGCCAAATGTTCATCCAATGGTAGTTTTTGAAAACTAAGGTGTCGATAAAGAAGGGACTCAAGATGAATGACCTTAATTGTCGTGTCCGTAAGATGCTTTTTAGATCCCATAAAATTATTGTGTATATATATCCATTGGGATTCAACATGAAATTATTGTTCGGATTGAAATTATTGTGGATTAAAAGTCAAAAAGCAAAAATTAATATTAATAAAAGTAAAAATACTAAAAATAAATTTCCTTATTTTAAAATTTTTGCATTGTTCAGTATGATAATTGATCAATGTAGATAGATTTTATTTCAATAATTTATATTTAAAATATATTAAAATTAAATTATGATTATATTTCATATTTTAGTTATTTAATCATACATTTTTAATAGCCATTTATTAATAAAGGTAAATTCTTATAATTTTACGATCCGAGTTTATATTCTTATTATAAATTTATTTAAACCCATGAGTTTAACAACCTTGACTCAAACTTTTATTTTACTAATATGAATTCAACACAATTTACTTCTTCCAAATCAGCGCATAATTTAAAGTGTTATTATAAAGATTAGAGTTATATCAAAATTGAATTTATTTTCTACTTCATTTAAATTTAAAAAAAATAAAATGGATATAATTAATATATAAGATTTTCAACTTACAATATGCATGATTAATCCAAGTTTGGTCAATTATTTTCACAAGATAAATGTATTAATTACTAATTTTTGAATTATTATTATTATTATTATTATTAAGTTGAATTATAAAAAAATCCCTTAAATTTTGAATCATGTCTAAATAATCATCTTAGCATTTAAAACCTAATGATAAAACCCCCTAAATTTATAGATTTGAAAGGTGAGAATAACTTCCCACCTTTAATTATCAATTTATAACCTCTTAAATTTTATTTTTGCGTGTAGTAATACTTTAAAACTTTTAGTTATTTGCAAATAATCCCCTCAAACTGTAAGTTATTTACATATAAGTAATGAACAAAACTAATAGTGGAGAAATTATATGCATACAGTCACATACGCAAGAATTTAGGAGGGTGAATTGTAAAATTATAAACTATTATTTAATACCAAAAAATTATAAATTATCAAACTGCATAATTACTCCAAGTTTAAGTTACATTCGTAAAATCCTTTTCAAGTTATTTTGTTAAGAAAACTTGGTTTTTATAAATTTCAAGTTAATAATTTTCTTTTGTAATATTAAGAGGGATCAAATTCTTAATCTGTGCTCATATCCCACCCCATACATGCTTCTTTAAGTTAATAAATTTTAAAAGTTAAAGTAATAAAACTTTTGGATATGGGGAAAGAGACTAGTTTCTCATTAACTTGATGAATTAAGATTTAAATTCTTGTTAGAAGAGGTGCCCACAATTAGTACTCAACTATCTCCTGAATATAGTTGCTTCCTATTCATAAGAAGATACTTATGAGCAATAAAAAAATACCTTTTTCAAAAAATTTGCAGCCTCAAATCAATTTAATAATTAGTTTTTAAAATGTTAATAAGAGATTATGCAAACTGTTCTTAAATCTTAATCATAGAAAAGGTTATAAATCAACTAAAATTTGTAGTTAATGTTCACAAAAATTTTTTGTAGTTAATAGATTTTCTCAATCTAAAATCATACAAATGAGATATTTTAATCTAAATGAATACATATTTCTTATTTAGAGAGGGCAAATTTTTTTCTGTAAAAAAAATTTTGATGAGTTAGGTAATAGGAGCTTAATAGTGTCAGCACATGCTTTCAGGTTAAGCTGGAAATATGATTTGATCTAAATAACTTGTTATGAGGGTCAAGTTGAGTTAAAAAAAAATTGATCAAGATAAAAACAAATCTTTTCTTTCCTAAATTAGATGACCTATGAATTGAATAGGATAATTTTTACTGGCTTATGATTGGTCCACTTAACCCATATTATCTTACATGAATCATGATAAAATTATTCAATTTTGTGTACTTTTAAGATGTGAATTTTTCAACTACGTAAAATATCATATTAAAACTCATAATTTTGGTATATTATTTTTAAAAATCATAAAAAAATAAAGGAGAATAAAAAATAAGGACCTTGTAAAAATATTAATATTAAATTAGGATTTTTCCAACATTAACATTCCCAAATTTTAATATTCTTTTTTTCATATTTCAATACTAAAGTTTTTAATTTAGCATTAATACTCTTTCAAGGTTCTTACTTGTTACTCTCCCAAATAAAGGAGAATAACAAATAAGAACATTTAATTTTTTAATGAGAATAGACTTAATAGTAATTTTTTAAAAAAAAATTACCTCTAACCTAACCTTTTTCCCATAGAAAATGAAGATACATACATCCAAGCACGCATACAAACATGTGGATGCTAAGTTCAAATATAGGACTTCTTACAAGAGAGAGGGTCACATAAACTTAACAGTAATTAAATATGATACGTTAGTACTAAATATCTAGTTGGTTATATAAAAAATTATTTTAAAAAGGGAAAATGATGGTTAAGTTACATGGGAATTAATTAATTCAAGTTAAGTCTCAACTAATTTTAGAGTGCTAATAAAGCCTCTTGGTTCTTTAGTCATAATGAGTCTAATATTTTTATAAATTTATAAGTTTAACTCTCAATTTTATAACTTTGTTGTGATATATTTATAATTTATTTTTCAAATTTTAGTAAGGTTGAAGAATAAACAACAGGTAAAAGAAAAATGGACGATCTATTTATTTATTGATAAATAGGCAAAAGGCAAAGAATAAATAAGAGAACTATTAGGCTCTATACTTCTTAACATTAAAGATAAACATTTGTGTTTTTAATTAAAATTTAAAAAATAAGTTACAAATACATCATAATAAAATTGTAAAATTGAAAACCAAACTTATAAATTTTTGCAAATCCTTGTTAAACTTATAATCACTGAAGGACTAAGGTACTTTGTTGATATTCTAAAACTGATTGAAACTTAAAATAAATTAATTGGTTCCCTTGAGACTTAGCTGTTATTTTCCCTTTAAAAAAATCATAAGAATTAATTTTTTTACTTTAAAGCCATTATCCTAGTAAATGTCAAATGTGATATTCTCTCCATTCTATCTTCTTCTTTTTTGGAGCAATACACACACACACTCTCTCTCTCTCTTTATTCTATTCTTCCGTTTTAAATTATAAGATAATTTTGCAAGAATTTTTGTTTTAAAATATGAGATAATTTAAAAAATAAAATTTTATTAATAATAATTTTTCAATATTACTCTTTAAATAGAGAGAAAATTAAAATGATATTGTACGCAATAATTAAGTGTGTAAAGATATTTTTAAAAGTTTATAATTTTATTATGAAAAAAAAAATTTATAAAGTGTTATTATTGCATTTTATTAAGTTGCATAATTTTATTTTAAATTGTCAGAAGTATCACACTTATATTGCATAAAATCACAGTTCGTATTATGTATCAAAAAGTCAGAGTACAATTTTTACTTTGTTTTTGGCCAACACAATTTAAGTCTTTCATTTCTTTACTGACAATTGGACGTGGCTCCTTCATGTCTATTGGACTACCTAATGTACGTTGTCAAATCACACAACATAGCTCCCAGTTTCATTTTTCTTAGCCCTGAAGTTGTTGGTTCCTTTCCTCGTCGATCAAAACCACGAAGAGAAGCAACCAAACTGCCCTTCATGTTACAAACACAATTCTTTCAAATGAAAGACAGACTTAATCAACTTCACCTTTAATACAAAAGAAATAAAATTGAAAAAGCATTAATTATTAAACAGTCTCCCAACTTTAATTACTCCATCTAATCCTATATATTTTATCGAAGTAGTTATTATTACTCCTACCTTGTGTCATTCATTGACTTGTCCTCAACATCTTCAGTTCTTCACATCTTTCATCTTTGTCATCTCAAACTCTTCATACACCAAAAATCTTTCTTCTCCTTCATCTCCTCTTTCCATTAGAACCAAGCAACTAACAGTGTTCAAATGATGGAGAGGACTTGCAAGGGAAAGGGAAGTACCAGCTTGGAAGATATTGTGTTCTCTTGGACTCTTAGCGATGCTCTCAACGAAAATCTTTACAAACACAAGGTTGTTCTGTTCTTTCTTCTCTTTCATTTGCTGTGGAAAATGAAATGTTATCCTCATGAGTGAGTGGCCGTGAAGATATATTTTTTGCTCTCTTCGTTCTGTTAAGTTGAATCCTCATTTGTTTCACGATCTTCTTGTTAAATTAAAGTACAAGCAGCACATGAAACTGAACTTTCATGTTCTTCATGTATGGCTTTCTCTACTTCTCACATCTGATGCTGTGGAAGCTGGTATGGCTGGCTATGCTACTGATTCACTGAATGTCCATGTGGGCGTTGGCTAATTTTTTACTGTCAATGTTGCTATGATTCTTTTTTTTTTTTATTCTTTGGTTTGGTTTTTTTTTTCCTGCGTGCTTTCTCCGTTTCTTTTGGCTGTTTCTGGGATATTTTGTTGCTGCACTTGTTACTTCTAGGAATGAATTTCAGCTTCTGGGCCAAGAAAATATATGGCTTTCATCTCTCATTTGTTTCATGTTCTCAGGTGCCAAAGATCCCATTAACATTTTTGTCAGCAACAGAATACATGAAATCCTTTATTCCTTCACTGATTGAGGAAACACACAGTGATCTGTGTTCCAGCTTGAAGAGCATTTCTCAAGCCCCTTGTGAAATCCTGACATATAAGAGGATGAGTGAGGGCTTGCTCTATCAATTGACATTTGATGAGATTCATGATGGAAGGTATGAACCTGCATTTGGGGATGTTATCGCCCTCACAGATGGGAGGCCAAAAGGCATTGAAGACTTGAACCAACCCGGAAGACTTTATCATATTGCTTATGTTCGATGGTCAAAAGAGGGTCAGATCACAATACTCTTGTCAAAGAGCATAGAGACTGAACCAGATGTGAGGAGCAACAATGCACAAATGCTGTATGCCACCTATCTCATCAACTTGACAACCAACATTCGTATTTGGAAGGCCTTGAACTCACAGCTGCAAGGTGCAAGCTTGGGTGTTATTGGAAAAATTCTTCAATCTGAAAAATTGGTAAGAATCAGATGGTATTTGATATGTGAGAACCCTATTGTTGCAGGTATTTGGATTCATGTGAATATAATATATAGAAAATATATCAGTATACAATAACTGAGACACATACAGCACACAGCATAATATTTTCATATTTCCTACACTCGTAAGATGTAAAAAACTTTTCTACCAGATATAACCAAAATCAAATATTATTTAATTAATATGCTCCATTATGCTACTTGAGGTTCTAATAAGGATGAAATTATGTTCATTATTATAGCTCATTCAAACACCACACGAAGTAACAATGCTGGTTCTCTAGATAGTAATAAAGAAGCCTTATTGAAGCTTTTGGTATGCCTTATTTTACAGATTGGAAAGAGCAGTCACGTTTTCCCTTCAATAGAGCACGCTAACACAGACATTTCTATCATAACAAGCATAATCAAATCTCAAAATCTGAATGAATGCCAGGAAGATGCTGTGTTAAGTAGTGTTGCAATGAAGAAATGTCATCACAATCACACTGTGAAACTTATCTGGGGCCCTCCTGGGACTGGCAAAACTAAGACAGTTGCATCCATGCTCTTTGCACTGCTGAAACTAGAAACCAGAACATTAACATGTGCTCCCACCAATACTGCTGTGTTGGAAGTGGCAGCTCGCTTGCATAGTTTAGTTAAAGATCAACTTTAATTTGACGCCTATGGGCTGGGTGACATAGTTCTTTTTGGGAATAATTCTCGAATGAAAGTTGATGATTATAAGGGCCTTGCTGATATCTTTCTTGATTATCGTGTTGATAAGCTTGAGAAGTGTCTTGATCCACTGACCGGTTGGAAGCGTCACTTGGAATCAATGATTAGTTTGCTTGAGAACCCACACAAGCAGTACCTTTTATCTATGCTTGATGGGAAGTTTGACGAGGTTAATGATCTCATGTCATTAGAAGAATTTACTGAGGAAATTAACGATCTCATATCATTAGAAGAATTTACTGAGGAGGTTAATGATCTCATGTCATTATAAGAATTTACTAAGCTTCATTACAGCATTGTACAGAAGGCATATCTCTCATACAAGCAGCTTGAGGATAAAGATCATCATATGACAATAGAGGAATTTGTCAAGGTGAGATACAGTAACGTTAATAATCAATACCTTCCTTATAACAGTTTATAAAGAGGAGGTTCACATTCATCAGTAAGAATCTCAAGTTCTTCATGCAGACATTATGCTCACAGTTACCAACTTCCCTTGTTCCATTTTTGGTGGCAGAGGACATGTGTAGAGCTCTTGATTTGCTGCGAAACCTGAAAAGTTCTTTGCATCGAAACGAGTTCATAGAAGTTCCCACAAACAATGCAGAGGAAAAAAGAAGTAATGTCATTCAACAAGAACTTCCAAATGAGAAAAGGAAGAGATGGGGTTTATCTACCACCTGCGATGAGATAAGTAAAGGATTTCTCGAGCCCGTCCAGCATTTGCTTATGCCTGCAGAAACACATATGCCAGTAAAAGATGTTACCTTTAGCTTTGGAAGGCTAAGCTTGGAAAGAGATAAGTGCCTTAGGATTCTTAGGTTACTTTCTTGGTCAATTTCTCTTTCACAACTTAAAAACCGTCGTGAAATAATAGACTTTTGCTTGAAGAAGGCATGCCTGATTTTCTGCACAGCATCAGGTTCTTCCAAATTGTTCACTAAAGAAATGACACCAATGCCTTTTGTATTCATTGATGAAGCAGCCCAACTCAAAGAGTGTGAGTCAACCATACCTCTGCAACTTCCAGGTGCAAGACACACTATTCTCATAGGTGATGAGAGGCAACTTCCTGCAATGGTTAAGAGCAAGGTAACAGTTGTCATTATTTTTTGTTAAGGTTATAATGAAATGTTCATTGGTTATTCACATTCAAATTTTTTGTGGATGAGATGCCTGTGCTTATATGAAAAAGTGGTTTGAATTTGATATTTAGCTTAAGCTTTTGAATTGATTAGTTTTTGATATTTGTGTTTTGTGTTGCTGGAGGTCACCAAAGATCGCTTCTAATTAATATGTATATGTATGACTACCAAATTTTAGATTTCTAATGAAGCTGGATTTGGAAGAAGCATGTTTGAGAGGCTGGTATCATTAGGATTCGAGAAGCATCCCCTTAAAGTCTAGTATAGAATGCATCCATCTATAAGCTTGTTCCCCAACAGGGAATTCTATGAAGGGCTACTTGTGGATGGCGAGAATGTCATAGTTTCAAGCTATAGTAAATGTTTCCTTGAAGGAAAAATGTATGGCTCCTATTCTTTCATAAACATAGCCAAAGGCGAAGAGCAATCTGGTCTTGGACACAGCTTGAAGAATATGGCAGAAATTGCTGCTATATTAGAGATTATAAAATGCCTTCATAAAGGTTCCTTTCTTGCTGATGAACTTTTTGTGTTTATGTGTCTCTATGTTTCTTTTATTGTCAACTCTAACAATTGACACTTAGTAATTGGTTTGGCACTATCTAGTTGAGAGAAAGAGTTTGAATATATCATATATGAATAGCCTCTTGTGTTTTTTATGCAACAGAGTTTCTCAAAAACAGAAGGAAAATCAGCATAGGAGTGATATCTCCATATAAATCTCAAGTATATGAAATCCAAGAGAAAGTTAAGCAGTGCAATTTGGTTTCAGATGCTGATTTCTCTGTGAGAGTTCGTTCTGTTGATGGTTTTCAAGGTGGTGAAGAAGATATCATAATGATCTCCGCTGTCAGGTCTAATGAGTCTGGAAATGTAGGGTTCCTTTCTAATAGACAAAGAGCAAACGTGGCTCTAACTCGTGCTAGGTATGTTGTGAACATATTTGGTTCGTCTTTTTTCTGTCAAAAAAAAAAAGCTTAAGTCAATTTGATAATATTTGATAATACTTTAAGATTATATATACCTTCCATTCATTCTTTAGCACAATATAAGACTTTTCAATACATTCTATTATTCCTCCTGTTGTTGCATTTTTTTTTAATCTATCTTTCATTCATTCATTTTTTTTTTCTTTTTGCATGGGCTTGCACTCCTTTTAAGTCTCTAGAATATTCTTTTTTTTTTTCATTTTGTTCTACCCCTATCCATTCTTCTCTCTATTTTTTGTTTGTCCTAGATTGAATGACTCTTAATACTCTATTAAATTTGAGAAGAAAAAAAAAGTAGCAGCTGTTGAAAAGTCTGACTTCCACATTGATTGAATTAAAGGTAAATAATCTTAAAGTAAGTCCTATTAAAATTAGCTTAAGCCAATTTAATATGCATTACTATAAAATTATACATCTTCAATTTTTTTAAATCAATCAATGTGGGACTTTTCAATACATTTTGATAATTTATTGAGACCAACATAGGACATAATAGGCCAAGTCATTTATAAACAAGGTTGTTCACTTGAAAACTTCATCTTGAGTGACAAATTTTTGTTGCCTTGAAAGTTAGCTTCCTCTACATATCCATGCTAATCTAACAATGAAAATCTCTTAACAGAAGCAAAAAAATCAAAGGTGGAAAAGTTTAACTGATCTTGAGTTGAATTTTGCAGGCATTGTCTTTGGATATTGGGGAATGTAGAAACTCTTGAACAAAGTCACTAAATTTGGACAGAGGTAGTAAACAATGCAAAGCAAAGAGATTGCTTTCATGATGCTAATGATGACCAGAACTTGGCTCAAGCCATTAAAGATGCATTGCTTGAGCTTAAACTAGTTGGCAAATGAAAGTCACCATTTTAGTCACTCAGAGTAAGGGACTAGACAGAGAAGTTTGGAACAAGTGCTGTGCAAGTTCTAGGTAATTTTTGTTGGAACCAACAAGTAGATTTAAAGTTTAAGTCATGTCAAGGGCACTATCCTTAAGAGTTATTTCGTCACACTAAGTTGTTCGCACGATAACTTCTCAGGATTAAACAGACTCATCCTACAAATTAAGCAGGGCCACAGAACAACAAAGATTAACAAAATATACTCAAATAACACAATATATAGAGGAGCTTAAGAACTCTAGAGCTTGGCCCCGAGTACATTGCACTCCTGGGGTATATATAGTCACAATCAGAAGGTCCCTTTAATGAACCATCAAACATTGGTTTTAAAATAATTAAAACAAATTAAGCCTCATAACTTGAGTGGTTTTGAACATTAGAAAAGTTTATAAATATTAAATCGTTAATGTCATTAAATCAAATAAAAGATGCTTAAACCCCCCTTCAAAGCTACAACTCCAAGTTGGTAAAAACAAGATTTAAGTAGGGGTTATAGAAATCAATAATTTCATCACATTGATCCTTAACTTTTTGGCTCAGAAATCTCAATACACAAATGATCAATACATTAATTGTTGTTAATATCATTGAAAACTAGACGTTCATCCAATGGTAGTTTGAGATGAAAGGAATGAATGTTATTTTATATGACGATATAACTAAGCAATTCAAGTATTAGCAAACTCAATTAAAGACTATTCTTTTAAAGACATTTTGTTTAGTCACATAGACTCAAACCCAGACCTTGTACCTAAGGATCATAACTCTTTCAACTAAAACCAACACCAACTGGTAGTAGTTAGCAAGGCATTACAATGCAATGTAGTTTGTGGCAATGCTGTTTATATGTTGCCATTTTAATCATTTATCTGCAATTATAATTATGTTACTTTCAAATTTTCAAGTTCTTTGTTATTCTTAAAATGACCATATTTTTTTTGTACCAGCGACCATATAATGTTTGTGTGTGTGTAAATGCACAGCTCTTACTGGAATTAATGTGTTTTATTTGTCACAATTATTTGTTATTCATGTAAGTTTCTATTAAAAAATATAAAGTAGTTTTTAAGATTAAATGCTCAGAAATATGAAATATTTTTAATTTTAACATGTAATTGATAATTTTTTTTCAAAAATATTCTTAATAGATAAACAACCTTGACACTTCACTTTCTAAGTAAAATATCTTATTAAATAAAAATAAACATTAAAAGGAAATATCAATTTAAAAACAATTAATTATTGGGGTGTAATTGTATTAAAAATATCTTATATTTTTAAGGAAAAAAATAAATTTGAAATCACTATCAATAATTTTTTTCAAAATTTTTTAACCAACATTAAGTCTTATATTAAAAAATATGTATAGATTGATTCAGTTTTTCATTAATAAATAACATATCATAAAATTTGATCAAACTCAATTTATATTTTATATCAATAATTAAAAGTGAATAAATGCTTTTTTTATATTTTTATATGAATTCAATAACAATTTCTAGGGGTGTTCACAGGACGGGACGGGACAGGAATGGGACACCCCCGTCCCGTGTCCCGTCCCGAAAAAAAGATCGGGACTAAATTTTGGTCTCGTATCCCTTCCCGTCCCGAAAGTCATCTCGTCCCGTTAAGAGTCGGGACGGGACGGGACGGGAACAAGATCGGGACGTCCCGTCGTCCTGATAAATGCAATAATATCAAAAAAAGATCTCAATAATAACGTTCATTAAAATTTTAAATCATATAATTTATTAAGTTTAAAATCAAAACAACACAAGTACATAAATAACATTAATTTAAAATTAATTATTGAATTATATTAATCACAACTACACATTATAATAACAAATACAAGTGATCTTTATGCTATAAGATTAGCAACAATAGGCAAGTCAAACATAACATCAAATCATTGTTCTTCTATTTTAGTGAAGATATGCTAAGTTAATTACTCTTCTAAAAATAAAGCAAGAAATATGTTATAAATAAAAGTTATTAAATAGATAGGTATAAAAATAAATTATATTAATATAATTAATATATGATAAAGAAAGATATCGTCATGTTTACTCCATGCCACTAAAATTATTAATATAAAAAAACTTTAATTTTAAATAAGAATTGTAAGTATTAAATTATAATTGATATAATTAATATAAATATAAATTATATTAATATAATTAATATATTTAAAATAAAAAAATTATATATATATTCGGGACGGGACGGGACGTCCCGATGGTAATCCCGTGTCCTGTCCAATCCCGAACCCCTTTCCTGTCCCGTCCCATCCCGAACCCTTTTCCTGTCCCGTCCCGTAAAGTCCCGTCCTGATTATTTTTGGATTGGGACAAGATCTGTCTCAATATGATCGAGACGATATCAAATCAATCAAAATGGGCTCAGACTGAACACCCCTCACAATTTGAACCCTATACAACTTACATCTAAGCAATTTAAATTCTAAATTTATTTTTAATATATTTTAATACCTAATAAATTATACTCGTGCTAGCGATTTGACATCTGCGGACCTCCAGTACTCTTAAGTGCGGGCCCCTGCATGACGTTGAAAGCCTCCTCTTCTACTTTTCTGCCTTCTGCTGCGCAGCTTCTCCTACTCAAGTTTTTTAGTTTGTCAATCATGCATGCATGGCCCTGAGCTTCCATGAAGCTCCAATTTATCAGGTCCTTCATTCCCACCAACTGTAAATCTTGCATTCAAAGACACTTGGGTCTAAGCTCCAATTTTCCTATATTTAAATCAAATTTATGGTTCAAATCGTTAGGTTTATAATCTAGGGTATAAATTGTTATTTAACCCTTTTTAAGTTAGGGGCATTATTGTTTAACTAAATATAAATAGTAAAAATGATAATAAAACCTCACAAAGTATATAAATAATAATTTGATCCCTTAAAATGTCATAATTTTATTGAGATCTCTAAGAACTTCTGTTTTAATAAAAATTTAAAGTGAAAAGATCATTTTACTCTTATTAAAATAATAAGTTGCAATCACAACTTTTTCTTAAATAATAACAATTTTTATTCTGTGAATCATACTAGCTGGACAAAAAATTACAACTTGTAAATTTCTGTTATTGAAAAACAAACCTCAATCATAACTTTTATTTAACAAATAATAATTTTTATTTTATGAATCATAAGAGTTGAACAAAAAATTATAATTTGTCAAGTGTACTTTTTATTATTAAAAAATAAATTTTTAAAACAATAAGCTCCAATCATAATTTTTATTTAAAAATAATAATTTTTATTTAAAAAATAACAAGAATTAAATAAAAAATCACAACTTATCAATAAAAATAAAATCATCTTTTCAATCAAAAATTTATTAACACAAAAATCTCTAAAAATTTTAGTGAAATTATAACATTTTAAAAAATTAAATTATCATTTATATAATTTAAAAAAATTATTATTTTTTATATAAATATCTATCTTTTACAAAATACTGAGCATACTTATTTCGTTTAATCTATTATTATTATTATTATTATTATTATTATTATTATTATTATTATTATTATTCGCATTCTCAATCCCAAAATATTCCGTGAAACTCGTCCAAGTTTAAGTCATTTAGCTTTAAAAAAAAAAAATTAAAGAATGTCATGATCAAAGTTGTATAGGGAGGAGCGAAATTAGAGTCATAAAAGAGAAGATCCCTGTACATCCTAAATAAAAGAGTCACTAAAAATATCAACATCAATATCATTGCAACGCGCTTGATATGCAAATTTGTCCTCGCATTGGCTTGTACGAAAAGTATCTCGTTCTTTCAATAAAAAATAAACTAAGAAACAATATAAAAGTGAGGACATCAAAATGCCTCCGTTGGTCTCACCTAATAAAATCATGAAAAAATTACATATAAAAATGTTGATGTTAAATGATATCTAGCTAAAATACCCACGCATCAAATATTTTTACCTCTAATCCTCCATCTAACTATTATAATTGGTAATGGTAAAGAATAAAAATTTAAAATAAATAATACTTTATTGCTAAAATTTTAGACAGACAAACATCTATAAGCAACAAAATGTACCATGCTGCTCCATCAAGAAAAAGTACCATGTTGCTTTTATAAAAAAATGATACGTTTAGTCCATTATTGGCTCCAAAAAAAAAAAAAAGAAAAGGTTTAGTCTATTTGCTGACCCTAGTCTATGCCACTAACCAATGGAAGTTCCACAAATCACAAAGCTTCCACCATAATCCTCAATTCTTAGACTGTAGTTTCTTCCGAACCAACAAGGAAATTAATGAATCAACAGTTCATATTCATTGACTTCAGTCAACATTTTTCTTTGCATCTTTCATCTTTGTCTTCTCAAAGACTCATAGTATAATATACCACACTGTCTTTAACCTCTCTCCGCTGTGCTCTGGTTTTGCATGTACGGAAACAAGTGATGTAATGATGGAGGTGACTTACAAGGGAAGGACGAGCTTGGTAGATATTGTGTTTTCTTGGACTATTGACGAAGTTCTCAACGAAAAACTTTATCAAGACAAGGTTTTTTTTTTTTTTAAATCTGATTATTTTATTGAACATCTCTGCTCTTTCAATGTTGCTTCTATTTTCTTTTCTTCTGCTGTTTTCCATGAGAGGCCATGAAGATCCTTTTCTATTCGTCTCGTTCTTTTCTGTCCACCTATTGATAGAAACAGAAACAAAGAGCAAGTATCTGAAAGCAACAACTTATCCTAGATGGTCATTCCCTTTCTTAATTTAAGATTAAACATGAAGATTAGTTTCAAGTTTAGCACTCTATACGAAGGTTGCATTAAGCTACTGATCTTATGTGTTCTTCTTATCTGCCTCACATTTGTTTCCGGTCTAATGAGGTTTATAGAACCGCTGCAACTTTGTGTCTACTTTGTTGAAAGGAACACTTCAAGTGAAAATAAACTGATCACTTCTCTCAGGTGCCAAAGATCCCATCAACATTTTTGACAGCATCAGGATACATGAAGTCCTTTATTCCTTCACTGATTGAGGAAACACACAGTGATCTGTGTTCAAGCTTGAAGGGAATTTCTCAAGCCCCTGCTTGTAAAATCCTGACATGTAAGAGGATGTGTAAGGGCCTAATCTATCAACTGACATTGAATGGAACCTCTGGTGGACAATATGAACCTGCATTTGGAGATCTCATCGCCCTCACAGATAGTAGGCCAACCAGCATCAAAGACTTGAACAAACCCAGAAGATACTATCATGTTGCTTATGTTCAACGGTCAAAAAGTGATCAGATAACAATACTTTCATCCAAGAACATAGAGATTGAATCAGACATGAGATGCAACAAGGCAGAAAAGCTTCATGCTGTCTGTCTTATAAACTTGACAACCAATATTCGTATTTGGAAGGCCTTGAACTGGCAGTTGGAGGGTGCAAACTTGAATATTATTGGAAAAATTCTGCGATCTAATGATCTGGTAAGTATCAGTTGGCATTTAATATGTGAACACCCTATTTTTGCTAGAATTTGGGCTACTGTTTTAGTATAATATATGTCTTGAACTGTTTTATACAGCAGAAAATGTTTAGATTTTTCAAATTTCTTGAACTCAAGTACGTTGTAAAAATCATTGGCTATAAAACATCCTCTGAATCAAATTTTTGTTGTTAATTAAATACATATGCATTTCCTTGCTACTTAAGATTAGGATTATGTTGTTATTATAGCTCGCTCATAGTAACTTTATTAGTTCCATAGATAGTGATGAAGCAAAGATGTTGAAGTTTTCATTCTGCCTTATTTTACAGTTTGGAAAGAACAGTCACATTTGCTTTTCTGGGGACGACGATAGTAAAGGCATATCAATTACAGAAAACATAATCAGATCTCAGAGACTGAATGAATGCCAGAAAGATGCTGTATTAAGCAGTGTTACAATGAGAAAATGTCTTTACAATCACACTGTGAAACTTATTTGGGGACCCCCCGGGACTGGCAAGACAAAGACAGTTGCATCCATGCTATTTGCACTGCTCAAACTAAAAACCAGAACATTGACATGTGCTCCAACCAATACTGCTGTGTTGGAAGTGTCAGCTCGCCTGCGTAGTTTAGTTGAAGATCAACTTCAGTTTGATACCTATGGGCTTGGTGACATAGTGCTTTTTGGGAATAATTCTCGGATGAAAGTTGATGATTATTGGGGCCTTCCTGATATCTTTCTTGATTACCGTGTTGATAAGCTTGAGCAGTGTCTTGATCCACTGACCGGTTGGAGGCATCACTTGGAATCAATGATCAGTTTGCTCGAGAAACCTCATGAGCAGTATCTTTTGTCTAAGCTTGATGGGAAATGTGAGGAGGTTAATGATCTTATGTCGTTAGAGCAATTTACTAAGCTCAATTACAGTCATGTAGAGCAAGCATTTGTCTCATACAAGCGAGAAGTTCAGGATGAAGTTGATCATATGACATTGGAGCAATTTGTGAAGATGAAATACAGTTGCATTAAAGATCAATACCTTTCTTATAAAGCTGAAGTTAATGATCTTATGTCATTAGAGCGATTTACTAAGCTTAATTACAGTCATGTAGAGCAAGCGTATGTCTCATACAAGCAAGAAGTTCAGGATAAAGTTGATCATATGACATTGGAGCAATTTGTGAAGATGAAATACAGTTACTTTAAAGATCAATACCTTGCTTATAAAGCTGAAGTTCAGTTTATAAAGAGGAGGTTCAGTTTTATTAGTGAGAACCTCAAGTTATGCTTGCAAACATTGTACTCACATTTACCAACTTCCCTTGTTACATTTAAGGTGGCAAAGAACATGTCTAGAGCTCTTGTTCTGCTGCAAAACCTGCAAAGTTCATTGCATCGAAACGAGTTCATAGAAATTCCCACAAACAATTTAGAGGAGAAAGGAAATACTATCATCCAACCAGAAATTCCAACTGAAGGAGGGGAGAAACAAGGTGTCTCCACTTTTCGCAACTATCAAAAAGTTTCTTAAGCCCATCCAGGATAGTCTTATTCATGTGGCAACACATGTTCCAAAAAATGTTACCTTCAGCTTTGGAAGGTTGAGCTTGGAAAGAGATGAGTGCCTTGGGATTCTTAGATCATTTTCTTGGTCAATTTCTCTTCCACAACTTAAAAACCGTCATGAAATAGTAGACTTTTGCTTGAAGAAGGCATGCCTAATTTTCTGCACAGCATCAGGTTCCTCCAAATTGTTCAATGAAGAAATGACACCCGTGCCCTTTGTAGTTATTGATGAAGCAGCTCAACTCAAAGAGTGCGAGTCAACCATACCACTGCAACTTCCAGGTGTAAGACATGCTATTCTTATTGGTGATGAGAGACAACTTCCTGCAATGGTAAAGAGCAAGGTACTAGAGTTTTGTCATGATATCTTGTTAGAGGTTATGGTGAAATTTTTGTGGTTATTCACTTGACAACTTAAGATCTGGAATTCAAGTAGTCTGAATTTGATCCTTGATATCCCATTCTCTTTATTAAAATTTAAGTCCTAGTACAAGGTATGCTAGGTGGGGTTTTGCCCATTCTTCAAACTCAATGAGCTATTATAGGGTAGGGTCTGCTAGATATCATCGTAAAACTATTCATGAATCTCCATTAAATAGCTTCAGCTTTTGAATTGATTAGTTTTTGACATTTGTGTGTTTGTGTGTTGATGGAGGTCATGAAAGATCACTTTCTAATTAATATGTATGTATATGACATTCAAATTTCAGATCTCTGATGAAGCTGGATTTGGAAGAAGCATGTTTGAGAGGCTGGTATCGTTAGGATACGAGAAGCATCCCCTTAAAGTCCAGTTTAGAATGCATCCAGCTATAAGCTTGTTCCCCAACAGGGAATTCTATGAAGGGCTACTTGTGGATGGCATGAATGTCAAAGTTTCAAGCTATAGAAAATGTTTCCTTGAAGGAAGAATGTATGGCTCCTATTCTTTCATAAACATAGCCAAGGGCGAAGAGCAATCTGGTCTTGGACACAGCTTGAAGAACATGGCAGAAATTGCTGCTATATCAGAGATTATAAAATGCCTTCAAAAAGGTTCCTTTCTTGCTAATGAACATTTTGTGTTTGCGTGTGTCTCTAAGTTTACTCTATCTATTGACACTTAGTAATTGGTTAGGCACTATCTACTTAGTAATCTGGTCAGTGTTTTTTCTACAACAGAGTTTCTCAGAAACAGAAGGAAAATCAGCATAGGAGTGATATCTCCATATAAAGCTCAAGTCTATGAAATCCAAGAGAAAGTTAAGCAGTGCAATTTGGTTTCAGATGATGACTTCTCGGTGAGTGTTCGTTCTGTTGATGGCTTTCAAGGCGGTGAAGAAGATATCATAATGATCTCCACTGTCAGGTCTAATAAGTCTGGAAGTGTGGGGTTTCTTTCTAATAGACAAAGAGCTAATGTGGCTCTTACTCGTGCTAGGTATGTTACATGTTAAAGACCCAAATACCACACACACACACACACTCGTGAGATGAGAAATCTTTGATATGGCTTTATAAACATAATAGATCAAGTCATTCATAAATGCTTTGTTATTTAAATGAAAATCTCATCTACTCTAATCTTCCTCTTGTTATGCCTCTATTTTATCTGACATTGAAAATCCCTTGAATGAAGCAAAAAGCCAAGGGTGTAAAAGTCTAACTAATCATGAATTGGAGCTTTTTAGAGAAAATGAAAGTTAGAACCCAAACAAATTAAAAAAATGAATTGCAATTAGTGATTTAAAAATCTCAGTTTGCAACTGAGATTCTCATTTGCAACTATCAAATTTATATTTATAAATTATCTTTCAGTAAGTTTTGTCAGAAACTTAATTGTCATTAAATTAATATTTTGGGATCTCACTTTCATTTTCCCCACTTCCTTTGTTTATCATGTTGATTCCAAGTTTGTAAGTATATAGGCTTGAGTTGATTCAAATCCTTTTTGTTTTTACGGCAGACATTGTCTCTGGATATTGGGGAATGCAGAAACTCTGAAACATAGCAGCTCTGTATGGACAAAGTTAGTGAATGATGCTAAGCAAAGACGGTGCTTCCATAATGCTGATGATGACCAGAACTTGGCTGGTGCCATTAGGAACGCCATACGTGAGCTTGAACTGGTTGATGAATCAAAGTCACCATTTAAGTCGCTCACTATTAGGGACAAGGCTGAGTCAGCTGCTACAAGGCCTAGGTAATTCTCATTGAATCAACTTTTCCCTAAACTCGCAAACATAAATTGCTCAACACATTATCCACACGAACAAATGGATATGGAGATGATGTTATTGCTCGCTTGAAGAACTGACCAGTGTTTTTATAATTGATGATGACCAGAGGTTCTCTTGGTGGCAGCTCGAGGAAACCGAGGTGGTGAAGAAAGGAATTAAGGAAATGATCATATTTGATGGTGCTTGGATTGCGTTGTGAGGTTGGATTGCTTCCGTTTGCTTCCAGGGTACATATAAAGCAAAGCAACATAGGTTTTATGAAATATCTTTTGAAACCTACTTGGCTAATCAGTTTTTAGCTTGTAGAAAGTATTTCTGGAACTTTTTGAAAGCTGAAAGTTGTTTGAATATTATTTTTGCACCAAATCCACATTCTGAAACACATTGTAGAAGTTAAGAAAAGTGGATTTGTTAAATGTAACTTATAGTAGCTTTTGAAAAATACATTTGAGAGTCAGGCATTAATGGAAGAGTTATATATGTACCTAACTTTTAAATTGATTATGCTACCCCTAATTATACTTTTATCCCCAGCGTCTGTCTTTTTTCTTCTGTCTTGTGAATGTCAGGCTCTCTTCTCCTTGATCTCTCTCATAGCTGGAGAGAGTTTTTTATATGGCATATATGCTATGAGCAAACTAAGAATTATATACTATCGAATTTATATATGTTTTGCATAATATATCAAACTTTATATCTTTTATTCTTTCTATTTAACATATCAAATTTTATATTATTTAAAATTTTTTATCACATTTTTCATATATACATTCAAGATCACTTTTTTATTATATAATCCATCAGTTTTCAGTTACCAAACAAATTTTTAAAAAATATATTCAAATATAATAAATTTATTACAATAAATGATTTTTGACCAATAAAATACAAACCGCCACTTGATCTGTTCGGTTACCTTGCGTCAAATGATGAGACCAAAATTGGTTTTGGTCTATCTTTTTCCTGTGACGGTGTACTAAAAGCTCAATTATCAGGCACAAGACTGTTGCTCTAAAATGAAGACCCGTCTCTAATCCTAGAAAACTAATTGATAAATCAGTAATCTCTGGGATGAACTTGAGAACTATACGATAGAACCTACGGGTAAAGTAAGTTAAAGCCATAATCGTTATTTTCATCCACAAAAAAAGAAAAAAAAGAAAAGAAACAATACAACTACATGAATTTAACCTCAATAAGACATTCGCAAACTAGAGTTCTTTCTCCATTAACATCTTCATGTTCAATCTATGCCTTCTTTTTGACATCTAACAGATTTTACACAGTACATGATAGAGCATGTAAACCATGTTCCGTTGCACACAGCCAACCATGTTTTGCGGTGGCTTTGATTTCAAGCCTGCCATGATGAAATCTAACAGATTTTAAAAGTTACAGCGGTTATAATGCCGAGATGAACTTCTGAATTTTCGCTTGAGCTCGTTCCTTCTCTTCTGCTGGCCCATCAAGGTCGCCAATATTGTCATGATATTCCTGAAAATGAGAAAGATTCCATTCCAATAAAGCTTGGAGACTATCATATCTTCTTTAAAAATACTCTATCAGAATTTAACACATTAGTTACCAAGTATTCCCAGTTCCTGGATTCACAATGGACAAGTAATAAACATAAATTAACAGGCTCATATTTTTTTCTAATGACAAAAAGTTTAGGTAAGTTGAGTCTTAAAAAAACTCGTTAGGGCTAGGATATAACTCTAAGCTCAAAAAGTGCTTAATAAATACTTACAGATTGTTTATTACCAAGATCCTCAAATCGATAACAGAAATAGGCTCATAATTTTAGTACAAGTTAAAATGAAGCACAACAATTTTCCTCAAAGGGGAACAAATTTACTGATCTCAAGGCTTAAGTTTTCTTTTTTTTTTTTTTTTTTGGGTTGGGAGTAACTCCCTTTCCAAAATCATGAAATAAGTTGATATCACACATTAGGTGAGGAATTTGGCAAAGACTAACTTGGATTGAATGCTAGAGCATCACCCACGGATGGACCTACTTGGTGCATGGTGGAGGCATTTGACCCCACAAAAATTTTACTTATAATATTATGTTTATGATGATGTTATTATTGCTGCTAATATTCAGTAATATTACTGTTAATGGCCCTATGAACCACAATATAAGTCATTATTAACTAATTTATGCTTTTCAAAAAGTTGGTTAAAATCTTGATTTCTCAAAAATTCCACATCTTTCCAATAGTTCTCTTAAGTGTAATAAATATAACATTTGAGTTATTCAAAACATCCTCATTAATTAGTTGGTAATGTAAGGGTATAATTGAAAAAATATATCCATTACACCTACCCAATGCCCTATATTTTACACCAAGCAAACTTTTAGAAAACGAATATTGTAGATTGGAGGAAGTAGACGAATTATATTGTAGATGGAGGAAGTATATGTATATCTATTGTGCCCACAGCCTATGTTTTATATACTATTTTACACATTCTAAACTGCCATAGATATACAAAGCAAGGATCTAAAACATTATTTCAAGAAGAAAAACAAATTCTTATACCTGAAGTATATCCTTTACATCATTTTTACCCAGCCTGTTCTGTTTGAGTAGGAGTTCAATTCTAGCTCTCATTTGTGGATGTCTGCACAAAAAGCATAAATTTAGAACAAGTCATAAGTAACTCCAAATATCAAGGGTCTCAAAATTAAGGGACGGAATACATTTTATGCCCCAAACTGAGGCCTGTCTACAGCTGTGTCACAGGAACCTTCAAATACATTATATCCCCCCTCTCTTCTTTTAAAAGAAAAAAAAATGTCCTGAAAATATCAACTCTCAGTCTCTTACAATTTAGTGCTTTTTCCCCCCAAACACCCTCTTAAATTTGACGCACCAAAGTAGCAACTAGGTTGTCAAATGCGTTTTTTCATAAAATTAGGTACGCATATATGGATGGAAATACTTACTCAGAGCACCAAAGATGACCAAGAATGACAGCGATTAACTGCAAGATCACATGAAAAAAGTCAACACAAAAAAGTTACAGTAAATTTGATAGCTACATATCTGCAGATTGCGTTATTACACGAGTCATTGGTATAGATACAGATTTTCCGTAAAAAGCAATTCGAACTGAAAAGAAACAAATGCCTTAACATGCATTTTTGTAAACAATAATAAATTATAGATTCTTGAACTACAACGAACAAATTAGAACTTGCCTGCTAATTTCTATATAACCATAAAGGGACATAATTCTGCTTCTTTGGGTAAGAGTAAATTTACTAAGGAACATCACTTTTCAAATTTTCCAAGATAAAGTCCTCAACAAACAATAACGGGTTACAATTTGTTCCCTCGCAAGTATTGGCCCAAACAAAATGCACTGACATTAACTGTGAAGCCAGATGATTAATCATCCTGAAAATTCTAACCTGAAGGGTATAAAGTCCAGATTCTAATTTACGGTTGTATTTCTCATCTTCATCCATCTGCAAAACATAGGAAGGAATATTATATTTTGGGTAAAACTTAATTTGATAGGGCAAGCATGAACCAAGTAACTATGTACACTACCTCAAAGTCATCAAGTTGAAACTGTTCCAATCGTTCCGTTTCTGCTTTAACTCTATCAGAATATCTGAAGAGATACCAAGAGCTCTTATGTTAAGCTTCTTACTATGAAACTTCAAACAAATCATTGAAATTAAATAAGCATAAACTGCACAAAGAGAAGAGGTGAGTTGACCTACCTCATGAACAGTTCCATTAGCCTGTCTATCTTCTCACATTCATTTTCCAAAATTTACTTAATAACCTCTCTCTCCTAGAACCGCTTAAAATTCCACCTGGAAGAATACAAAGGCCATTGAAATTCTTCCCACATAAGTTAATTAAATGATTTTTAAATAGTGGTAAAGATATAAGAACTATACACAATGTTACAAATCAAAGAAAACATAACGATTCTAGAACTTTTATTGGCAAAAGTTACAGGGACAGTTAGTTTTTTGGTGTGGTATCAAAGGCTTCAGCACCAAATGGCTACTATTTCAATCCTTGCCAGTCCCATTTTCTAAATCAAGGCATATTTCAATGTGGGAAACGGACACTTGTGCTCTATCAATGCCTAAAGCCAAAACAGAAAACAAATGGTCGTGAAGTGTGTGCTATAGCTTGATCCTCTCCGAATAGCTGTCTTTAGCAATAGTTGCCTCCTTCACAACTAACTATATTTTTTTTTTAATAGAAGACAAATAACTATATTGCAGTGACAATTAAACAAAAAAAAAATAGATACAGAATTTCCATGTCATGGAATGGAAAACTTTGAGGCATCCAGCATAATTGAAAGAAAATAACTGCTTAAAGATCATAAATTAAAAATCAAGCGTAAAAAATGTATCATGCTTATATAAGTGTGAATAAAATATTTGAGGGGAACAAAATTCTGTTCGATCATGGCCAAAGGTATACACTACAGTACCCAGTCAGATGTAGGAATCTCTGTATATGCAGTGCACAACAAGCAATTTCATCTTCGGTGGACTATAGAATAGAAAAATAATATGAAGACAAGTTCACAAATCACAATGCCATCCACTCACGAAGTTCCAGTCAAAACTTAAATTCAACTTCACTTGCCTGCTTACCAAATAATGAGGCAATCAATGACACAATACGCTCCTCCAATTCCTCTGGTAGCGTTCTTTTCTTATTCTTCTTGCTGATGGGAATCTATGTAGTACAACACACAACTGGTCAGTGTGGATCAATCTGTAAAATCCCTACGATATCTCACATTCAAACTTCACAAGTGAAAATATTTGGAGAGAGGACAACAAATGAAGCTTGAAAAAACTTAATAATTGACCATTATTTTTGGTAGACATAGATTGAGAAGTTGGCTTTTGCACTATTATGAACTTAAAAATGATTGTCCAAACATCATGAGTGCCAATATTCAATGGAAGTCCCATATGTGTAGCGGACAAGAAAAAAGGTATTTCTACGCAAAGATCTTGACTCCAGATAGAATACAAATGCGATTCTTTTATTTTCGTCACTCAAATAGATTTTTATTTTATTGTTACATGAAGATGAAGGCAGACATGGCAAACTTAACACCATCAATTTATTAAAACAGCAAGCTTGCTGTTGTCAGTGATTCCATC